TTTTAAGGAATTATAAAATTTTAAGGAAATATTTTTTGAAATCTTGTTTAATGAGTTAAATTATAAGGAATTCATCTACTAGTAACTCTGAATCTAGTAGATTTATAAAATCAACAAAAACTAAACTTTTTAAATAACAATGGATTTTGATGGATTTTAAAAGTCATCAAACTAATAACAAATGATTTCATTAATAGTGTAATAATTCATAAACCAATAATAATAGATTCTAAAAATTCTAAAAATTCTTTAAAATCCATCTGCGTTTTATAAATTTATTATAGAAAGAAAAATATGATTGTGTGGAAAAACATATTTGCATTTGAAACCAAATATATCATCAATTCAACTTTTTTTTTCTTTTAAAATGTCAACCATTTGTATAGTACTATTGTAGTAACAAAAGGTTATATGATTAATAATGGATGGTTTCTACTCTACTTTGTACAGAGGTATAGCAAGACATAGAAGAGATTAATTTATGAATCAAAGTTGAGCATTCATCAAAGTTGGACTCTCGAGACTTCTAAGTTTATGCTAGTTCTATATTCTTACGGAATCTATTGTAAAACTATTCAATAAAGCAAAATTAAAATTTGTCGTCTCGCTGCAAAATTTATCTTTTACTTGAATATATGTGAATAATTGGTTTAAATTAAAACCATATCTCCATTTTTCCAAAATCAACATATGTCAGTTTTATTAATTTTCTTAATTATGATTTGGAATTTCTTAATTAATTATACATATGATTTTTTTAATATAAATTGGTCTAAATGGTGGAATATAATACTTGTTGATACTTGATACAAATATGAGAATAAATAAGATTAATACTTTATATTATTAAATTTAAAGCCATCATATTATTGGTATATTTTAAAGAATTTTTTCCGTCCTCAATCTTCATACTACAAGGGTTTTATTTTCAGTTTTCAATACACTACTCGCCAAACTTAAGTTATTCCGCTATCGTATTTTCGACAACTCTGGTAATACTAACCCAAACCCTCAAATTGATGTAATTTATTAGGAATATTTAGTTAAATTCAAAATCTGCTCCAAGAGAGAAACCTCATGTTCCATTGCAGAGATCTTTAGCATATGATTGCGTTTGTCTTTCTCTGCCTTTAGAATCATTTGGTTAGAATATTTCTTTTATACTTCGTATGTATTTCTTGTGAAAATTTTGGTTATGATCGGTTGTTTTGCTTCGGCTATACTTTATGTGAATTTTGGATTATTTCAATCTTATCTTTTAATCAGCAAAAACAAAAATATCTTCTATATATGTTCACACTTTTAAAACTTATGTATAATGAATGAAAATTTACTCCCACTTTATCTCCCTTTAAACTCTCTCCTTAATAACTCCATCTCTTTGATCAAAACGTGAAACATAACATCACTTAAATATTGTATCACATATGATAGTTAAATATTGTACAAAAATAGCAAGTTCATAACATCTCTTTCTCAAGCTTTTCAATGGTGGTGATAGTGTTGAAGAAGAAAAAAACAGATCTAGATATGAATCTCTTTTTCTTTCTCTCTCTCACACATAGATTCAAATCTATATCTGGATTTTATCAAAAAAAATTTGCAAATTCGCG